GTTAAAAAATGTATTAAGCATAGACATAAAAAGAAAGAGAGAGAGGAAAAGAATAACAAATATTAAATTGACGAAACTTTTAGCTTTTTTTCGAAAAAAAAGACAATTCTCTCTATTCTCGAATATTTCAGTAACTTTAATTTTTTTTACTTTAATCGAAAACCATTCTTCGATTGAAAATAGGCTGCAATATTGGTTGAATCTCTTTCACGCTAGATGCCTGATTATCTTGTCGAACTCTACTTGATGCGATGGTTTCGTCGAAGGAGATAATAGCCGCGATATCTCTATCCTCGGACGAATCTTGAAGAGAGAAAAGAATGTTCAATGAAGTCCATTGCTTGCATCTCGACCCATAAAGATAGTTCGTCTCCTCTTCCGCCGGTTTCCTCAGAGGAAAGGTTTCATTTTGCCCTCTTTTGTTGCGGATTTCAATTGGCTGCCGCAAGAGACTTCTTTCTTCCGGCGATGTCGCCGAAAGCAAGAAGGGTCGGAAGAGTGTGGGGGCATAAATTAGGTCATTCGATAAAAAATAAAAAAAAAACGATAAGGAACTGGCAGTTTGATTTCCTCGAACCGATGCATTAACAGATATGTACATTTGTAGGAAAAGATGTAGCTAATTTTGCAGTTATCTAATCATTTCTGAGAATCACTCCCTACAGTTGATAGTCTCGAAAATTACAAAGAAGGACAATAAAAATAGGAATATTACATAGATATTAAATATCTGAGTAAATGCATTATTAAAGATTAGTTCCATTGTTCGATAAAAAGAAGTTTCTAAAAAAAAGTATCATTTAAAACATTATTATTAAGCATAATTCGGCTATTTATTATCGCGCATAAAAAGATGGATAATCCCGAACTATTTTTTATTCAATGTTCATATTTATCGTGAAAAAAGCGCTGCTATCGAAAGAACTATTATCCAATCGTCACGAATATGTGGAAAATCTATTTTCGCCGTTCTTCAGAATATATCACCGCCAATGGGAAAGAATGTTGAAACTCCTCGCTAACTTTTTCGCGCCAGACCTTGATCCGTCGCGATCGTTTATCATGCGAGCGAGATATATTGTCGTCGGCGAACAATCGGAAAATTTGTCGGGTCATTAGCATTCGCGATTGATTCTCGAGATTTGGTGTGCCCAGCAATTTCCCAACCGTTTCATCCACGATGCCGCCTGCTATCCGCACCATCTGATTAATGACCGAAATCGGTCGCCAAATGCATTCCATTCGCTTTCCTCCAGGAAAATTCACGCTTACAAATTGATTATTGATATCCGATGAGAAAACAATTCATTCATCTCGGCTCTTTTTCCATATTGCCATTGAGAACGTTTATAATATTATCGATTATGATCTGTGCGTGACATTACGATGACATTTCTCGTGGGTTGAAAACGATGATGGTTGAATGCGTTATCGAAACAGAATGTTTTTTACTTTATCGGTTTGACATTTAGGTTTAGTTGTACTTCGCCTTTTTCTTCATTCAATTACGAAATTAGAATCGCGCTTTAAATAAATAATTCGTTCGATATTTGAGACGATAAATGTTATGATATTTTCGCCGCGATAATTACTACCTTTGGGCTCGATAGCATTCAACATGATCCAACATGAAAGCAGAGAATAAGAGAAACCGAATGCGTTCTCTCGTCTTTGGTATAATAATTGCGGTTGTAATACTCGCTAAGACTAGGACGCATTTTCTGTTGTTCCGAAGGATCGGCAAAAAGGGTGGAATTAAAGCGTGCGAGGATCTGCAGCCGGCATTGATTTATGGTGCTGTTATTATACGCTGCTGCCAAGCTACCGACATCCAGCAGGAAATTTTGGCAAGTCTGTTGCAGACAACAAAAATGTGTCTATTTCGCTGAATGTTGAGAAACGCGAAGACGTTTTCTTCAAACTGGAAGCTATAGGAACAACTTAATTGCAGCCCATTTATTATAGTCGCTAATTTCTCAAATAATAAAAACACATGACTACAATTTTCCATTTTTTAAATATTTTCTCAATATATCTTGATCGTTGTTTTTTCGTTGTTTGTCGGTTGTTTTCTAAAATAAACGAAACAGGGGAAGGACCGTCTCTTCGCGAAGGCGAGAAAAGCTTCTCGGCTTCATCGTCCGGGCCGAATAAACACGTATTTACAGCTTGGACGTAAGCGCGCGGCTCGTCGTTCTAAATTGGACGATTTATCGGTGCTGTAGCCAGAGATGCGCAAGAAACTCGTTAACGAGGAGTAGCTTTTAACGACGGATTCAGCCGTTATAACGAGGAAAGAACAGGCCGGCAATTCGAAACGGCTGTTATAATATTGCACACTTTTACCTCGCACATCACGCGAGAGAATCGTAAACAATACCCCATAATCAATTACTCGACAGGTCGGTTTATTCGCGGAAGAGTTCGGCGATCGCGCTTACTTGCAAGAAAATAATTAATCGTCCATTAACGTCGGCAAATGTAATTATTACAGTCGAGTATCGTGCGAAACGGAACTGCATCCAGCTGTGAGAGATAACCGATCATCGTTTCCGGTTATACAACGAGACCCACGCGGGTTCGGATGATTTATAGAGAACGGAGATGCTACACTGTGGACTGTATTAAATCCCCTACTATAACAAGAGGTAATTTTCTCTTCTCGGAACATATTTTCCATCAAAATGTTTAATACCCAGCAAGATACCCAGCATTCTCCTCTCTTAATGAATATGCTAAAATCATACTCATTACAATATAATTTAATACGCTATTTTTCATTTGTTTATAACGCAGTTGAAAATTTATACATTTATGTCGGTACATAATTTGCATACATTAGCATCCTATTTATCCAAAAGCAAACGATACTTTTATGCAGTCAAAGGAAGTATCATCGAAAATCACTTTCGACGAACGTTTCGGAGGCTTGGTTCATGCACGCGCGATCCTAGAGAAAGATTTACGGAATAAGTGTCTGAAAAAGTAGACAAACAGAGAACCTAGGAATGAAACGGTGAGCGGAATCGATAACTTTTCGGAGAAGAAATTTTGTTATTTGCCTTAGTGTTTCCGGCTACATCCTGCACGCCGTTAAATCGACAAGGGCTCTTCACCGACGTCTGGTTATTCAGGCAAAATAATTCGGGTAACGTGTATCGACGCGCGAAACGAGCGACGCGAACTATCATCGTCAACTTTGTCGACTGAGCGATTCTTCGATATTTTCCGGTTGGATTTAATTAAAACGATGGCGGGCGAAGACGGCGCTTAAATTACACTCTTTCG